CACCCCCCTGACCTGCTTTCCAGCTCCGTTCTCCTGTGCAGGGCAACTCAACGGGAGGCAGGGAAGATTTGATAGGGTTGGCCGGTTCTCCCAACCCCTCGACGTTTCCACTCCCGGTTCTCCAGCACCGGTCTGAACCAGCTGAGTGCCACCTCTGGAGGAAACCCTCCATCCGGGGGGTGGGGGGGACGGGCTCCGTGGGCACGGGGCCTGAGGCTGCCTCCCCCCTTCTGCCCAGGTGGCACCTTGGCCGAGTTCATCCACAAGCGGGGCAACTCCCTCCTGGACGAGGAGACCATCCTGCACTTCTTCGTGCAGATCCTGCTGGCCCTGCACCACGTCCACGCCAAGCAGATCCTGCACCGGGACCTCAAGACCCAGAACATCCTGCTGGACAAGCACCACACCACCCTCAAGATCGGGGACTTCGGCATCTCCAAGATCCTGAGCAGCAAGAGCAAGGCCTACACCGTGAGGGTTCCTCCCCCCCTGCCGGGCGGTTCCTGGGCCTTCCCCTCCCTCCCTCTCCCTTCTCCTTTTCTTCTCCCTTCCCCTCTTTCCTTCCTCTTCTCCTTTCTCCTTTCTTGCAGGCTCAAATGCACAAGGGGAAACATTTCTCCCTCGGGGTTTTCTTTTTTGCGTTGGTTTCGATAGCCCTCTGCCAGCGAAAAGGGGCCCTGCAGGAGCCTTAGGACTGTTTTTCACGCTTACGACCATTGCAGCATTCCCGTGGTCCTCATTCAGGCGACTTGACTCGTGTTTAGGACGGCCGCAGTGTCCCTGGGGGAGGGGGAGCCCCGTGTTCCCCCTTTGGTGTCCTTCTGACGAGCAAGGGAAATTGGGGGCTCAGGGGCGGTCGTAAGCCGAGGACCCCCTGTGTGGGACTGAGCTGGAGCGGGGTGGGGTGGCAGGGGTCTGGATTTGCTGACGGGCGTCCTCTTCCTCCTCAGGTGGTGGGCACCCCGTGCTACATCTCCCCGGAGCTGTGCGAAGGGAAGCCCTACAACCAGAAGAGCGACATCTGGGCCCTGGGCTGCGTCCTCTACGAACTGGCCAGCCTGAAGAGGGCCTTCGAGGCAGCCGTAAGACGCCGGGCCCCGGGAGGGAGGGTGCCTGGGGGGGAGGACTGCTGCCCTGGCCCCCTGGGACGCCTGAACGCCCAGCGCACCCGACCCCACAACACAGATCGGAGAGCCATTTGTCTGAAGGGGAGTGCGGTTTCCTGCCTGAGGTGCGGGGTTGGACTAGAAGACCTCCAAGGTCCCTTCCCACTCTGTGATTCCATGTTCTATATGCCCCGGAAGAGCTGGCCGCTTACATTTGGCTGTATAGGGTGACTTTGGGCCAATCACCAGGAGGCTGGGAGTTCTAGTCCCGCCTCA